CACACACACACACACACACACACACATACACACACACACACACTTTTTTCCCCCTCAGCTCAAGTTTTAGTCATTTTTATTAGCATTTCTTGTAAATATTTCCTTTTAGCTTTATTTTAACTTCCGTTTAAGTCATTTTGTTGTGCTTTTGTCATTGTTTAAAATATTTCTATTTTGCTTTATTTTTATTTCAGTTTTAATATTAAATGTAACTAGCTTTTATTTATTTTTTTTCTTTTATATATTTTTTAATTAAAGTTTGTCATTTTGTTGTGCTTCTGTATTTTTTTTTTTTTATATTTCTATTTAGCTTCTTTAAATTAAAGCATTATACATTATAAATTATTTTATTTGATAATGTTTTCAGTTTAAGTTTGAGCAATTTTAGAACTTTTCAGTTAGTTGCTAAACCAACATTTCTAATTTAGTGTCCGGTTTCATTTAATATTTTAGATTTTTTATCTCAATTAATAAAAGCACTTGTAATCGTTTTAGTTAACAGTAGCACTAGTTGGCTTTTAACAGCTCTTATAGCGCCACCTAGAGGCGTCGACACGTTCCTACAGAAACCCTGGATGATCTTTGTACAGCGAACTCACTGACGTTTACCAAGAACACATGAAAACATTCATAGACCAAAGAATGAAAGTCACAGCATCTGATGAAGCAAGCAAACACATTTAAGAGAGTTTTACCTGGGCCGGTGTGTTTCAGTCTGAAGCTCTCGTCTGGAAATCTCGGACCATAGATGGACTTTCCTCCGGTTCCGTTGTGATTTGTGAAATCTCCTCCCTAAGACAAACACAAAGTAGTGTAAAGAAGAGCAAACACGTGAAAAGCACACGTTTTTTCACTGAATCCCATGCGAGGCAGTATGAAACAATTCGTCATCAAATGTGAAATTAGTCATGCAGAGTTAATGCGGTTCTTCTGTAAAGACAGCAAGAGCAACACGGTTTCATTCACACGGATCATTAAAGGGATTCTGCATTAACACAAAGCAACTGGTTACATTTGCTCAGGATTCACCATTTCAAAGCACATTTTAGCCTGTTTGCAATTAAAGAAAAAGTACAAATATACAGTCTATCAATTAGGTCAAAACATGCATGCTGTAAAATGCTGGAAAAAAGCATTGAAATGGTAGCATAAGATGCTACACTGCTGTAATTGTTTGAAATGTTATATTTACCGTCACATTAAATATAACACAAGACATGCAGGGGAGTAACTTAAAGGGATAGTTCACCCAAAAATGAAAATGTGTTGTTTATCTGCTTACCCCCGGGGCATCCAAGATGTAGGTGACTTTGTTTCTTCAGTAGAACACAAACTCCAGCCGTTGCGGTCTGTCAGTCGTATAATGCATGGCAATGGTAACAAAATCTATGAGAGTAAAAAAAAAATCTATGAGCGCGTACACACCTCACGCACCGGAGGCCGTGCGCGCGCACAAAGCAGTTGGACATAGTGGTGTATTAGAGGTAAAAGATGATATAAATACTGTTGGGTTTCTGGATCTTTTAGTTTTAAGTCGGTTTGAACAATCCGGATAAGCGCAAGTAAGTACCATTTTGATTAGCCGTCGTACCTACAATGTTTGTGCACTGTGTAAACAATGAGTGACGTATACGTGCGAGAGATCACTTGCGTAAACTACACCAGAGCGCGTACACACCTCACGCACCGGAGGCCGTGCGCACGCTCAGAGACAGCTGGACATAGTGGTGTATTAGAGGTAAAAGATTATATAAATACTGTTGGGTTTCTGGCACAAACCGATCGTTTCGTGTCTTAGGACATCAATGTGTCGTCACAAGCCGCAGGGTTTAATTTGGATTTGTCTGTGCATGTTTTTTTACTCTCATAGATTTTGTTACCATTGCCATGCATTATACGACTGACAGACCGCAACGGCTGGAGTTTGTGTTCTACTGAAGAAACAAAGTCACCTACATCTCAGATGCCCCGGGGGTAAGCAGATAAACATCACATTTTCATTTCTGGGTGAACTATCGCTTTAATAAGCATCATTCATTCATACGGTCTGATGTGTTTCTGTGGACAGAGCTTCAATCTAAAGCATATGAAGCTCATGCAGGCGTGTGACCTAGACGAGGATCTGGACGAGGATCTGGTCACCTGACACATGAACTGTGGGATCACTCTGTGGAAGATGGAGCCCTTGTATCCGAACCCATGCTCGCCGGTGCACAGAGCTCGGAAGTTCTCTAGAAAACACACAGAAGATCACAATGATGACTTTTACTTTCATTTGTCTTTTTAAAGCACATTCAAAACAAAATATGAAATGTTTTCAAGTACTTCACCTGCTGTTTTGGGCACAACATCCGCATTCAGCTACAGTTCAGGAAGAGAGTTAAAGGTCAATGAATGAGAAACACTTTTAAAATATTGTAAAATAATCACATTGCGAAATAAATACGCATAGAAGCTGCAGCTACATCTAAATAATTTAACTGTTTTTTTTTCTTTTCTTAGAAACATGTTACGCGCTAAAGTGTTATAAGGTAAAATATTTTGGATCATTTTTAACGGGTTGTAAATATTCCACCATGGCGAAGGCTAGGCTTATGAATATTAATGAGGTCAAGGTGCCGTTACTTTATAAACGTCGTGGAGCGTCCGTCACGCAATCTAATTAATATTCATAACCCCTCCTCGTATTCGTTGATTCGCCAACTGTCAAGCGTCCAGCGTTCTTTCAGCCAATCAGACAGACGAACGTCGCGGTGCGTCATTAATATTCATAAGCTGAGCCTTCCGCATAGTAGAGTTCGTAACGTCTCTCACACTCACTTCGAAGGTGACTCTACCGAGCGGCTCGTTGTCCGCCGCGATGTCGAAGAACACCACCGGGTTGCTGTTGGCTTGAGCTCCGGTGGCGTACATGCGCGCGGCGGTGAACGCCAGCGAACACAACTTAAACCTGTTGCTGATGAACAACATGCTGATTCCGGTTACCGACGCCGCGGAGTTACTGACGCACAGGAAGTGCTGAAGCGTCTCACGGAAGCGTTTAAGAGCGCGAGCGCGTGTGTCAGTCACATGTTGATTCGTAAACATAAACAATAAATAAATACATGTTAATAAATAGATTAAAATAATAGAATAAAAAAATAATTTTTTTTTTTTTTTTTTAGAATAAATAGATTATAGACATATAAAAACATAAGATAAAACAATTTTTTTTGATAATTAAATAAAATTATTCAGTTTAATTAAAATGTGTAAAATATAATTAATATGTGTAAAATAAAAGTTAAAAATATGTCTTAAATTGTAGCTATTTATATAAATATATATTAAAAAAACAAATAAAAAATCTAGAAATCTATATAAGTTTATGACTCCTGAATCAAATAAACCCTCAGACGCATGAATTATTAAATTAAAATACACATAAATTCTATGTTTATGTAACCTAATATTATTACTGTTAGTAACCTGATTTTAAAAATAAAAGTACAATGTTAAATATAAAAATATAATAAATATATAAACATAAATAATAAATAAATTCACGTGAATTCATATAAAACTATTATAAACATATAAGACATAAATTATTTAACATATATAAAACATATAAAAGCATAAAACAAAAGTATTTTGACTTAAAAATGATTCAATTTAATTAAAATAATAAATACTTCATAAAATGCAGCTATTTAAATAAATATAAAAAAACATTAAATACGCATAGAAGCTGCAGCTACATCTAAATAATTTAACTGTTTTTTTTTCTTTTCTTAGAAACATGTTACGCGCTAAAGTGTTATAAGGTAAAATATTTTGGATCATTTTTAACGGGTTGTAAATATTCCACCATGGCGAAGGCTAGGCTTATGAATATTAATGAGGTCAAGGTGCCGTTACTTTATAAACGTCGTGGAGCGTCCGTCACGCAATTTACAAATAAAATATATATTTATATAAGTTTGACTAAAAATCAAATACGCATTATTAGCTAAATAAAAATGCATAAATTGTATGTTTATATAACCTAATATTATTAGGCCTACTATTAGTAACATGATTTTAAAATAAAAGTACAATGTTAAATATGAAAATATACTAAAATAATCCAAATATAATAAATATATAAAATGTTTTTTTATTTATTTGAGCTTTATCATCAGCAAAGTTTATGTTGTCATTAATGCACAATGATATATCGAGACATATAGTTTCTTTTTTTTAAAACAGACTTCAGTTACGGCAAAAATGAAATTTGAACTGAACGTTAGTAAATGATTATCCACCGAAAGCAGTTCATGAACTCATGGAATCAATCATTCAGCGTAATAACAATAAATATCGGAGTTTATTGAGGTTTGGTCTGTTGAGGACGTTTGTATGAGCTGCTGATCAATTCATGAATCCACGTACAGATCTGCAGGAATCAGCAAAGAATCACAATCAGATGCTTTATTTCTGCTTCACGCCGTGTGAAATAATGACAGCCGTGATCTCAGAGATAAACATAAACATGGCGACACACAGAAAAACCATTTATTGTGTGCGTGAGATGCGTCTTAGAGCTGCAGCCTCAATGATTTCACAGATAAAAGTCTTTTAGAATCAGATATTAAAATCATCCGTCTCTTTCATAAAAAAGGGAAGACTCAAAAATTCTTTGCATGTGTATAACTTTTTGCCACGCGATGTAACCATCAGAACAAGCGTTAAAGCATAAGAACAATAAAAAATAATTTACCAAAACAAAACAGAGCAAACAATAATATTAAAAGCCCTTTCTACAAATAAACAAGCCTGTATAGATTTATTTCACATAAGGCTGTCATATTTACTTGTACATATTAACAATATTTCTCATATTAACATGAAAGTCTGTATATCAATAAAGTGTCCTTAGCTGAGCCTCCGACAGCTTTACATATTATTGGTTTCTTAAATGGAAGTGTATTTTTTTTAGCATTTTATGTATCACTCCTTCTGGATGTGAAACGCATGATGAGTAACACAGGCTGCGCTCACAATTACATACCATTTATATATATATATATGTGTGTGTGTGTGTGTGTGTGTGAGAGAGAGAGTGTGTGTGTGTGTGTGTGTGTAATTTCCACTCACTACTGTCATAATTATGAGGTGAAAATGGGATGAAATTACTTTCAAAGTTGTAATTATGACATACTCAGTCAAAATGAGGACATAAAATGTCAAAATTATGAGATTAAAAAAGTCAAAATTATAATACAGTCAGTTTTTTGCCTTTTTATCTCGTAATTTCAAGCTTTTGTCAATAATTAATTTTTGTATATAAAATAGTACGCAGTATAGTTCAGTATAGCATTGCATTCTGAACGCAGCCCATGTTTTCACACACGGACAGAAGAAACATGGATGGCCAATCAAAACAAATGTATTCACAAATATTTACACGAGCTTCTCAAAAATAATACAACTGCATTATGAACAGAAGTGAACTAGATGGATAATTGCATGGTGTGAGTTTGATTTCCGTTTTTTCCCCTTTACGCTTCCAAACAACGTGATTTATTTTGAATAAGAGCTGTGCTTCAATTGTTTGTCTGGTTCTTCCTATCAAAATCAAAATCAAAAAGACTGAATTTAGCTGCAAAGTTCATTGCAGCTCCGCATTTCTCTCGTTCATTTGCTGACAAAGATTTTAAAAACACTGAGCGACAATCAGTCGTTCTGGCAGATAAAAATAAGGAATCTGGAGGCAGAGATAATGCTACCGTCGGCATCCGTTCGTCTGTCAACGCTGGTTTTGAAATCTGTAGTCTGTGCAGGAAGAGGAGGTGACGGTAAGTGCATTTGTGTTTGTCAGGTATGGAGCAGCTGCTAGTGGAGGGTCTGGGGTCTCAGTTATTCTCAAAGAGAGACAGCAGGTCGTCGCTGCTGCTGCTGGGAAGGTACGACAGAAGATCGTCTGGATTCATCAGGTCCGGCAGCAGCTGCAGGAGGAAAACAAGCTTTTCTCAGCTCACAAACACACCAGACACTTAGCAAGCTTTTCTGCTGTAGATATAATGATATATACAGTATAAGCACACAAAATTAGTTTGGTTTGGTTTTGTTGGTATTTGTAAGGTACAATATACAAACATGAAATAAATCAACAAAACAAAAAAATAAAAATGTAATGTAAAATTAGTATTTATACAAAATAGTGCACATTACTGTTGTTATTATTATTACTACTGTTACTATTATTGTTATTGTTTTTATTTTTCTTCTGTTATTTGTAAGGCAGAATATACAAATGTAAAGAAAAAGAAATCATAAAAACAATTAAAAGCAATTAAACATTTCTTAAAACAAGCACAATAAAAACTACAATAAAAGTGTAATAATTTAAATAAATAAACAAAGAGGAAATATATAAACAATATAAATGTATAAATACAAAACAAAAAAATAAAAATGTAATGTAAAATTAGTATTTATACAAAATAGTGCACATTACTGTTGTTATTATTATTACTACTGTTACTATTATTGTTATTGTTTTTATTTTTCTTCTGTTATTTGTAAGGCAGAATATACAAATGTAAAGAAAAAGAAATCATAAAAACAATTAAAAGCAATTAAACATTTCTTAAAACAAGCACAATAAAAACTACAATAAAAGTGTAATAATTTAAATAAATAAACAAAGAGGAAATATATAAACAATATAAATGTATAAATATAATATATATATATAAATATAAATATATAAAATGTAATGTAAAATTAGTATTTATATAAAACAATGAACATGAATTATTATTATTATTATTATTATTTTGTTATATATTTTTGTTATTATTGTTATTATTATTTGTTGGTTTTTGTTGTTATTTGTAAGGTACAATATACAAATATGAAATAAATAAACCAAAAAAATAAAATTTTATGTAAAATTTGTATTTATACAAAATAGTGTAGATTACTGTTGTTATTATTATTACTACGGTTACTATTATTGTTATTGTTTTTGTTATTACTGTTTTTTTATTTTGTTTGTTTCTGTTATTTGCAAGGCAGAATATACAAATGTAAAGAAAAATAAATCATAAAAACAATAAAAAAAATCTTAAAACAAGCACAATAAAAATTACAATAAAAGTGTAAGGATTTAAATAAATAAACAAAAAGGAAATATATAAACAATATAAATATAATATATATATAAATATATAAAATGTAATGTAAAATTAGTATTTATACAAAACAATGAACATGAATTATTATTATTATTATTATTATTTTGTTATATATTTGAGTTATTATTTTTATTATTATTTGTTGGCTTTTGTTGTTATTTGTAAGGCAGAATATACAAATATACAAAAGCTCTAATAAAGATAATAAATAATATAATATAAATATAAAATATCAATATCAAAAAAGCATTCAAAATATAATTTAAACAAAAAATGTAAATGTACAGTGAAAATAGTATTTATACAAAATCACGTACATTTAAAATATACATTGATTGATGAATATTTATAAATTATGGATGTGCAACATATTAGTATTGGCTGATATCAGTGCTTTTTTAATTATCGCATTATTTGATCAGAAATATATATTTTTTCTCGTTAAAACAGGTTATAAACATATGAATGTTAATGAAATCAAGATCAAAAGTGTCTGGAGTCAGTCTGAACTCACATCTAAGGAGGCCTCGCGCATGTCTGCGCTGCTCGGACCTCCACACTGACCCTCCAGGTTGGCCGAGGGGTTAAAGGTCATCTCTGGGTGCATGTGGCCGCGGGGGGCGGAGCTCCGCTGGCTGGGCGGCGGCCTGCAGGCATGGGGCGGGCCGCTGTGATGTAACGGCTGCATACCGTGCTGCAGAGCATTGTGGGATTGATCTGTGTTGAGGGGGTGAAGCATCTGTGACAGAAAACAGAAAACACGCATGAACTGACATTAAGGATACTCAACACTGCTATTTTCTGATATAAACCTTTTTTTAAATTACTGCATCATATGATTAAGAAGAAATTCCAGGGGTTTTCTAATTCATTCGGTAACAAAAAAAAAAGTACTGTAAAAATAGTATTTATACAGAAACAATTGAGTAAAGAGTAAATTGAAAGATTTATAAATTAAGGATGCATAACATATTGGCACTGGCTGATATCAATGTTTCATGTATCACGTTTTATCATATCATCTGATTAAAAAGAAATATCTCTTTTTTCTAATTCAAACAATTTCTCTCAGGTTACAGATATACAAAACAGTTATCAATAATGAAATTATTGAATGAAAGTTATTTTATTTATTCATGTAAGTTATTTTATTGTTATTATTTGTAAGACAAAATATACAAACATTAAAAAACAAATTATAAAAGTGATTAAAACAATAAAAAAGACTAAAAGTATGATAAAATCTACAGTAAAAGTGCAATAGTTTAAAATAAATAAACAAAAAAAGGAAATAAACTAAAAAATATATTCATATTACATATATATAATATATATAGCTTTTAATTGTTTTTTAATATTTATATATTCTGCCTTACAAAGGATAATTAGAATAATAACTTTTAATTTAATTAGTTGTTTATTTTATAGTATATATATATATTTAACAAACGGCTAACTAAACAAATAAAGTTATTATTATAATTATCCTTTGTAAGGCAGAATATTAAAAAAGCAATAAAAAAGAACTACATTAAAAGCTACAATAACAGTGCAAAAAATTATAAAAAAGATAAACAGTATTTATACAAAACTGTGTATATTTAAAAAAAAATGACCATAACACAAATATAAGTACAGAACATCCTGAATGCAAATAATACTAAACCCGACTGAACTGCATCAGGGGCCCGTTCCTCGTTCCTCGCTTAATACATCTGAGATGATCTGAAAGATGCCGGATCTTCTAATCCTCATAACTGATCTCTGGCTAATTTGGTTCTTCAAACGAATTAGCATATTTGATTAGTGTGTGTTCTCGTGTTCCCCGTAAAGAGCAGATGCATGGATACTCGAGACCGCGATCAGCAGCGATCAGCAGCGCAGCGATTGGCTGCGGCGAGACAGCAACGTAACGACATCTTATCATTAAAAAAGACACCTGACGAAAAAACCTGACACATTTCTGGAAACAGCCAAGCGAACAAAACTACATAAATGTTATTATAACACATAAATGAAATGTGCACTGTTTTTATTATATTAAAATTCACAATTATTTATATTCACGATTTATATTTGTACAGGCTTTACATTTTTATTTCAATATTGTAATTATCAATTCATTTAATTAATATAATATATATATATAATATCTGTCATCACTCAAACTAATGCACGACTCAGATTAACTGAACAGCATGTGTGTAAGACTCGTATACAATTATAAAGTTATTATTTTATCATGAATAAATATTTCAATGAGTAAAACTGGCTGTGTCTATACTAATATAGATTACGTAACATTATAATATTATTTTCGAATTAATTTGTAAATGATTATTATTGTAAATGACTGTCCCTGGATCAGTAGGGTACTCTTCTAATAAAGCAGCAGTGGCTGGGACAGATTTTAAATATCAATTCTGCTTAAAAAGATGCGATCTAGTCCTGTTTACGTGAAATAAGCTGTTTACGGACCTGTTGCTATGACAGCAACTCCAGGATGAGCTTCGAAGAACCAACCAATCAGAGATCAAGCGAAATCGTCAACAATCAAATTAGCGACAGACGAAGAACGGACCACACCTGCTGTGTGTGTGTGTGTGTGTTTCAGAGACTCACGGTATCCTGCAGCGTGTGTGTCAGGCTCTCAGAGGTCGAGAGGTCAGCGGGGGGGTGTGGCCCCTGAACGAACTCACTCACTGATGATGATGATGCGGCGTTGCCATGGGGATAGTCACCAAACTTACTGTGGCCCTGGAAACGGTTGCCTGGGAAACAGAGGTTGCATAAGAACGTGTACATTTGTATTTACATAAGCTGTGTCCGAAACTGCTCCCTATGCCCTATATAGTGCACTATATCGGTTGTCAGCCATTCTGTAGTGCTGAACGACTTCATTCCTTCGTTCACTACTTTTTACCCACAATGCATTCTGATTTCGACTGATGTACACTCACTAAAGCACTATTTCCCACAATCCAATGCGGAGAACTGATGAGCTGGAATAGAGTTCGAATGAGAGATCACCTGTAGGTAGAGAATTCTTTCTGATGTAAAATGAGTCGCTCTAAGCCTATTTTTATCTTATCTGAGCACAAAATACTGCTCGGGAGAGTTTCAAGATACTACAAATAATAAATACATAAAATTATGAACATGCTTTAATGTGTGTTTATTTTTGTTGACAGTATTTTAATAGTATTTAATGATTATGAACATATAAGCATTACAAAACAAATGAATAATATACCATCGATGAAACCACAAAGCTGACGCGGAGGTATGTATAATTACAATATAAAGTCATTTTGAGTGTTGTTGTTATTAATGTTATTTTCTAAAATAAGGTACATGTAATATAAAGTAAAAAGTACATATGTCTGCGACAGCGTGTCCGAATTCATTAATAACTGAATAAATAATCTTTCCATTGATGTATGGTTCGTTAGGATCGGACAATATTTGGCAGAGATGCAACTATTAGAAAATCTGGAATCTGAGGGTGCAAAAAAATCTAAATATTGAGAAAATCATCTTTAAAGTTGTTCAAATGAAGTTCTTAGCAATGCATATTACTAATCAAACATTAAGTTTTGATATATTTACGGTAGGACATTTACTAAATATCTTCATGGAACATGATCTTTACTTAATATCCTAATGATTTTTGGCATAAAAGAGAAATGTATAATTTTGACCCATACAATGTATTGTTGGCTATTGCTACAAATATCCCCCAGCGACTTAACACTGCTTTTGTGCTGCAGGGACACATATTTGCATCGATTTTCAACCGGCTCGCGGTTCATCGTTACATCCCTACTATATAGGGATTAGTGAGCGAGTGAGCGATTTCGGACACAGCTATAGAGTGCCCATCATGAGTGCTTCTGGGTAATGGGCCGCACCTGGGCTGATGTACTGGATAGTGCTGTTGTTGGGGTACGGAGACGCTCCCGGGCTGAGCTGAGCGATCATGTCCATCACGTTGGGCAGCACCATCTGACTGGGACTCATGGTTTTGAAACGCTTGGACATCAACCCGTCTGGATCTTGCTTTATGTGCCGCTCAGATTTGATCTGCACCGGCCTCCAGCTGCAGGACGGGTCTATCGTGACCTCCTCAAACTCTGAGCTGCAACGACAGAAAGTACATCTGTGCAAAACACCTAAACCTACGGAGGCCAAGAGAGCTCAACGCGCTGCAACTTCAGAAAACACACGCAAGCAGAAAAAGCACCAGCGAATTAATATTATTTATCTTCATCAGTTTGACAGCACATGCGCTGCAAATACAAAATAAGCAAAAACAGAAACGTGCTGCAAACAATCACAACCAAACACAAAACCATGGTTTTATTATAGTAAAAGTGTAGTAAAATATCATGGTTAAACTATGGTTAGTGTTTTTAATGATTTAACTATAGCATTAACTATGCATTAATACTATTAACTATACAATTTTTATTAAAAAAAATATACAATTTGTATATATATAGGCCATTTATTTTTCCTCTTTATTTATTTTAATAGTAAAAGCATGGTTCATTTTTGTAAAGGAAGTTTCTCAGTTAAAGTGATTGTGCATTTCGTCAGCTTACTTAGGCTAAATAAAAAAGCTAAGGAATCATATAAAATCTCACCTTTTTGAGTAGACATTGATAAGCATGTCCCAGTCAGGTGGTCTGTGTTGTGAGTATTTGCAACGTGTTTCTGTTATTGTCTGTGTTGTGAGTATCTGCAGCACATGTGCTGTCAAACTGATGAAGATGTTTTCTTAATTTGCAGGTGCTTTTTCTATTTGCATGTGTTTTTTTCATTTGCAGCGCGTTGAGCTTTCTCGGCCACCTTATAAACCAGCTGGTCTGGCTTCCAAGACGTCCAACGCGAGCACTAAATGTTGACTTACTTCTGAAGAGCGTTCAAGATCCCCCACATGTACTGATCCACCTCCAGACCTTCTAACAGAGCCGCTTTACTGAAGAAGACAAACAGAAGATCAGTTCTGCATCACTCAAGCATCTCAGTCGTGATCTGAGGAGTGACTGGAGGAGCTTACTTGCACACCGGACATCTCCATGAGCCCCGCTCACAGTTCAGCTCTAGATAAGACTCCAGATCAAAGCACTGCAAGAGAACATTATCACAACATTAACACAACGTTTAGACAACATTACCACACTTATATGTAAACGTAGACATTTTTATGATGTCAAATATTATTTTTGACCCCCAAATATAATGATCCTGTTCCCTTTTTAATACTTTATTACTTTAAAATAAATAATTTTAATCAGAAAACGTGCATTAAATTGCTCAAAAGTGACAGTAAAGACATTTATACAACGCGAGCACTAAATGTTGACTTACTTCTGAAGAGCGTTCAAGATCCCCCACATGTACTGATCCACCTCCAGACCTTCTAACAGAGCCGCTTTACTGAAGAAGACAAACAGAAGATCAGTTCTGCATCACTCAAGCATCTCAGTCGTGATCTGAGGAGTGACTGGAGGAGCTTACTTGCACACCGGACATCTCCATGAGCCCCGCTCACAGTTCAGCTCTAGATAAGACTCCAGATCAAAGCACTGCAAGAGAACATTATCACAACATTAACACAACGTTTAGACAACATTACCACACTTATATGTAAACGTAGACATTTTTATGATGTCAAATATTATTTTTGACCCCCAAATATAATGATCCTGTTCCCTTTTTAATACTTTATTACTTTAAAATAAATCATTTTAATCAGAAAACGTGCATTAAATTGCTCAAAAGTGACAGTAAAGACATTTATAATGTTTCAAAAGATTTCTATTTCAAATAAATGCTGTTCTTTTGAACTTTCTGTTCATCTGTGAATCCTGAAAAATAAAATGTATCACAATTTCCACAAAAAACTGTTTTCAACATTGATAATAATCAGAAATGTTTCTTGAGCAGTAAATCAGCATATTAGAATGATTTCTGAAGATCATGTGACACTGAAGACTGGAGGAATGATGCTGAAAATACAGCTGTGCATCACAGGAATACATTACAGTTTAACAGATATTCACATAGAAAACAGCTATTTTAAATTGTAATAATATTTCACAATATTACTGTTTTTACTGTATTTTTTGATCAAGTAAATGCAGCCTTGGTGAGCATTACAATTTGGTAGTGTTGGTATGGTAATTGGTATGTAAAAACTCTGTGTGATTTATACTGTGTGAGAATTTATTTTCTTCTAAATGAAATAAAGACATTTTTGCTATTTTTTATTTTTTATATATTTTATACTTTACTGAAGGCAAAGCAAATTATATAAAAAATATTTTTATAGAACATGTAAAATCCAGACTTTGCATTAAGGATTTTATTTGCATCTTTTTCTACCCTCTTTTAGACTAATTCTAGAAATATTTTAAATTCAGTTAAAACGTATTTGTAGTGATTTTCCAAATAAATATCATTCCCAAGCAGATTTGCCATTAACAGCCATAAAAATACATTTAGTAAAATCATTTTTTGTAAAAACCCCTCTAGTGGCTCATGCATTCGATATCCAAGCAAGCGTTTAGGCTGTTTAAAAGACTTCCGGACCTGCATGTGTTTGCAGTCATGGCCTCGCGCCGGCAGCTGAATGCGTCTGAACGTGATTGGACACTTTAGAGAGATTCTGATGGCCGTTTGTTCCACTCCATCATCACCGACAGACACAGCCACACTACTGAAGCTCCTCTTCACTGAGAGACAGAGAATGAAGGCTCATGAATGCACAACGAATCACAGAGACTGACCAATAGAGAGACAGACAGACTGAAGCGATACCTTTAGTGATGCAGTGTTCGGCGGTGAGGAGTCTCTTCCTCAGTAAACCCTGCAGCACCGATCGAACCGACGGCCGGTGAACCAGCAGAAGGACAAACAGGTGCGACTGCAGAGAAAACACAACGCAGACGCTCACGCAACACTCACCAGACGAGCACAAGAGGACTGTGTGTGTGTGTGTGTGTGTGTGTGTAACTCACACAGCAGCAGGCCGTCACGGTGATCTGGATGGTGTTTCGGCCCGGCTGACACACGTGCTTCAGGTGCAGGGGTTTGTGGGAAGTCTTGATGTCGCCGCGCTCGATAGTGAGCGGTGTGGCGTTGACGCTGACCAGCACCGACGCCGGCCAGTTCGTGTACATCTGTCTGTCTTCATGATGATAACACTTGAACTGAAGCTCCAGATCAGACCTGAGACACAAACACACACGGATTTGAACAGGAAGACTCTGTCTGGCTGCTTTTATATATTTATTCGCGTGTGTGTGTGTATGTACGTATTTGTGATAGTAAAGTGCTAATAAAACACAGGGCTGGGAACTGGCATAAACCACCTGATTCGATATTACAATATTTAGCTTCCAGATTCAATATTATTGAAATTAAAAATTAAAAAT